ATACATTTGTCTATATCTATCTCGATTCGTTTTGCCTGTTACAAACAACCGTTATGTGAACAAAGTTATAATACCCTTCATATTTATATTTATCTATTATTATCTTGAATTATCCAACTTGTAAAACGTATTTAGTGAATACCCTAACTTGCATTGTAAAGGTTTTATAGTAGTTTGTATTGAATTCGAGTGGTTGGCAACGCGCGTTGATAATGCAGCGCGCGCAGTGACATATAGGTTGACAAATGTCAACAAAGTAAAAAATTACATATACAGAATTTTTCCAACCATTTTTTCGTGCGGTCGCCCTTTTTGCTCAATTTTAAGTTTTCCTTTTACATATGTACATATAATTGAATGGAATAAAGAGAGTTGTAAATTTAATATTTCAACGTGCGGGTGTGATTTCGAGAAAAACCATTAGTCGGTCGTCAAACATTTATTCGTGCGCGTAAACAAAGCTCGCCTTTGGAACCGACTTGTATTGGCACACAAAAGCATCCAAACGTTATCCTCCGTGCCACAGTCAGTCACCCGGGAGTCCAGCAGCCCCACCATCGCCAACCCAGCGCCCCAACCACGACAATCCCCAAGAAGCCGCCAGAAGACCACCAACGTTGCCGTCAACGCCCAGCAGCAGGGAGCCGTCGCCGTCCTCGCCAGCCTTCAACCGCGGTATCGCTCCGTCCATCCACGTCCGGATTTCGGCAGCCAGAAGTGGAGCCGATCCCCTTACTATTGGTCCTTCGGCGCCAACAGAGAGCCGCACCGGTGGAATACCATAACCCGAAAATGAAGTATCCCCAGCAAAACCGTGAGTTCAATTTTTACTAACCCTGCGGTGAAATTAAAGTTTGAACAAGAGCAGAAAATAATTCCTTGTATGTCCCAATAAACGGCAGCGCTAAGCAATAATTTTTCATTTTTCCCCGCATAAATTTTAATTTTTCCCGCCAATTTTATTTTTTTTGCGCCAATTTTCACGAATTTTTACACCCACACAAAGGCTTTTGCAAGAATACATATATATATGTACTTCACTTAACATTTGTTGCATAAAAGCAAATAGTACTTGGCGCACACACACATATACACATACATACCCTTTATATACCAAAGCTCATAGTATATACAGCGGCTAATCAGTTAATCCCAAACAAACATACAAGGAATTATAGCTGGGAATACGTAACTAACCCCTAATTTAGTTATTCCTGTATATACATATATACATATATATATATATATAGAAGAAAGTGTGGTACAAAGCAAATAAAATAGCGTACAGTGAACCCCCTTACTATTGAACTCCCTATAACAAATACCATAAAAAGGCAAGTCGGTGACAGTGCTCAAAAAAAATAAAATACAGTCCATTAGATAGGTAATCATACATTTTGCGCTCAAATTATCTCCATTTGTGGGTTGAGTGAACAGGGTCAAGCGTGAAAATCCCCAACACGGTGATCCAAAATCCCTCATAAAGGCTCAAAAAGTTAGAATTTTCTCATTTATTAGTTTTCCCACACTCTCTTGGAATCCAGGTGCTCACCGTATTATTTGCGACAGCACAGTAAAACCCCGATTGTATTTGATTACCCCACATCCCAACCTTAATTAGGTCCGCTCATTCGATTTCGAATGCTAGGCCTCACTGGCACTGAAGATAAGACAAAAAGTCCCAGAATGAACGAAGAAGAAAAAATTCTCGAGACTCCCGCGGAATCTCAGCGCTCTACGCGTTCAAGCGGAAAGCCAAAAAAGGCAAAACAATCGGTCATATGTACTAAATTCATATCAGAGACAGATAATTTGATGGATTACTGCGCCCGATTCAGATCAGCCCCGATCGAAGAAAATACTGAGTCTGTATTGAAAAAAAAAGAAAAGACAAGAGCCTAGAAAACTTTTGGAATAGAGTTCAAAACGCCTTTGATTCGACTTTGGAAATTGAAGAACATGACCTCCCCGAAGACTTTAGAGCGTCTGCCTACAGTAAATATAGGTCATGTTTGATTATATATGAAGAAACAAAAGCCCAAATCGGAGACCAACTCCAGTTAGTAGCACAAACCACAAGTCCCACTCCCAAAGCCAGTACATCACTTCCTCAGGAAACTTCAGGCATAAGCTTAAACGTCCCACCTTGCGACACCGAAACCTTTTATGGGGGTTATGAGCAATGGCCGTCCTTCCGTGATATGTTCACGGCGGTCTATATAAATCACCCTAAGCTCACTAAGGCGCAGAAGTTGTACCATCTCAGGTACAAAACGCAAGGAAAAGCTGCCCAAATAGTTAAACAATTCCCTCTGAGTGNTAGCTCCAGTTAGTAGCACAAACCATAAGTCCCACTCCCAAAGCCAGTACATCACTTCCTCAGGAAACTTCAGGCATAAGCTTAAACGTCCCACCTTGCGACACCGAAACCTTTTATGGGGGTTATGAGCAATGGCCGTCCTTCCGTGATATGTTCACGGCGGTCTATATAAATCACCCTAAGCTCACTAAGGCGCAGAAGTTGTACCATCTCAGGTACAAAACGCAAGGAAAAGCTGCCCAAATAGTTAAANATTTGACCACGAGAATAAAGGCTCAAGCAATAGTCCTATCCCAGTTAACGAAAATGCTTGCCAAATTCCAGCCAACTCTCGAACAACGAGAAAAATGGTCTCACCTCCAGNACGTCCTTCCGTGATATGGTCACGGCGGTCTATATAAATCACCCTAAGCTCACTAAGGCGCAGAAGTTGTACCATCTCAGGTACAAAACGCAAGGAAAAGCTGCCCAAATAGTTAAACAATTCCATCTGAGTGACGATAATTTCGAACTGGCATGGGAAGCACTAAAAGCTCGCTATGAAAACAGACGGATTCTAGTAGATAACTAAATCTGCACTCTTATGAACTTAAACCCATCCCAACAGAAAATAGCGAAGACACACAGAGACTGCAATCATCGGTGAACAACTGTCTCCAGATTCTAGGCACCTAGCAAGTATCCACCGAAAGCTGGGATCCCATTCTTATCTACTTGGTTACCTCCAAGTTTCCTGAGAACACCGTGGCCCTATTGGAGCAATCCCTCAGTTCCAGGAAAGACCTCCCGAATTGGCCCCAAATTAACCAGTTCCTCACTACTCGATACGAGGTGGTTGAAAGAGTAGATCAATTTCGTGCACCCAAACCTCCGCGGACTAATCCTTCGAATATGAGCTACTCGAGGCCAACCCCCCCTAACAATAGGCCATTCCCTAAACCCCCCACTGCTCAGAACTCTCACAACAACTCCTTTTCCCAAATCCGAGTGCACATGACGGAACAACGCACAAAACCATACAAATGCCCAATGTGTAATAAACCTCAACACACTCTCTCTCAGTGCTCCAAATTTCGTCACCTGCCAACTCAGGATCGCAGAAAGTTTGTGAGAGAACACAACCTCTGTTTTAATTGCCTATGTCAGACCCACTTGATAAAAGACTGCTCAAGTAAATATACTTGCTCCCATTGTCAAGAACGGCATCACTCAATGCTTCATGAAGACACGCCCCCCATGCCTCCAAGACAGCAGTCTCGAACTCAAAGAACGACATCTCAGGTCGCTCTGATGACGCCCACTAATTCCAACCCACAAAGTCCAGCTGGGTCGGCAACCAATCATGAGGAGCCTTCGTGCTCAAACAGAGCAAGAGTACAGTCGTATCTACTCGGAAAATGAGAGCAAGATTCTCCTTCCCACAGCAATAGTTCCAGTTGAACACAAGGGCGAGATCTTCAAACTCAGAGCTCTCATAGATCAGGGTTCGGAACGAACCTTTATTTCCTCCAAAGCCCAAAATGAACTAAGGCTACCATACGAAACTTCTAACTTTGAAATTTCAGGCATGGGAGGAAGAGTTGTTCAGACTTCGAACAAACTATGCCATCTCATCTTAGCCTCCGCAGATTTGACCACGAAAATAAAGGCTCAAGCAATAGTCCTGCCACAGTTGACGAAAATGCTTCCCAAATTCCAGCCAACTCTCGAACAACGAGAAAAATGGTCTCACCTCCAGCTAGCAGATACTAACTGCCACTCTCCGTCCCAAATTGATCTGGTCATTGGCAGTGACCTNAACACCAACTGCCACTCCCCGTCCCAAATCGATCTGGTCATTGGCAGTGACCTCATTCCTGAAATAATGCTGGAAGGCATTGAGAAAATTTCCAAAAATCTGCTTGCACAAAACACCATTTTCGGTTGGATCTTAAGTGGTCAAATTCCCGAAAAAATAGCCTGTTTCTCTACTCAAGCTGCACCGATCTCCAATGAGCTTTTAGATTCCCAGCTGCGAAAGTTTTGGGAGCTTGAAGAGGTTCCGAAACCCAAACTTATTTCGCCTGACGATGAAAATTGTGAAAAATTCTATCAGTCCACCACTACGCGAGCAACTGATGGTCGTTATGTAGTCAGACTGCCCTTTAAGCCCAGCTTTCCAGACCCAATCTACCCCCGCCCTCCAACAGTGCCTGAGCATGGAAAGAAATTTGCTCAGAAAAGGCGATCTAAAATCCCTTTATGAAAATGTATTAAACGAATATCTCACCCTCAACCCTATTGAAGAAACAACTTCCCATGAGATATCTTCTCAAGACAAATATCGGTCGTTCTACCTCCCACACCACGCGGTTATAAAACCCGAAAAAAGGACGACCAAAGTCCGAGTCGTCTTCAATGCTTCGAAGAAGTCGGGGTCCGGATATTCTCTGAACGATGTTCTTTACACCGGACCAACCCTCCAATCCGACTGGATGGTATTTATCCTCAAGTGGCGTATGTATCGATTTTTCTTTAACGGCGATGTCGAAAAAATGTATCGACAGATACTGCTGCAGAAGGACGACCAAGACTATCAAATAATCGTATTTCGACCATCTACAAATATCCACATATAAAATTATAAGTTGAAAACTGTGACGTTTGGTTTGAATTGCGCACCCTACCTCGCTATACGCACCCTTCACCAGCTCGCAGATGACGTACAAACCACGCACCCCTTAGCGGTGCCCATATTAAACAATGAAACGTATGTTGATGATATAATTTCCGGTGGTCATGATCTCCCTTCAGCCGAAGAATCCCTCTCTCAAGT